AAATGATAAAAAAAAAAAAAAGAAAGAGTTGGCCAACAGCAGAGCTATTATCCGCCTTGTGAAGTAGTGAGTGTTCCGTCTCGGGGAGGAGTCAAACAGGGGCTGCCCACCAGTCTGATGCTGCAAGGGGAGCTCTTCGCTGGGTGGGCTAGGACTGTTCCCACTCATCTCTGGTTGGGGGACGAAGGAGGGAGCCGCTCCAGTTCATTTGTTCCCCATTTCAAGCCCTGCTCCTTCCTATCTCTTACCACCCTTCCCTCTCTTTCCTATCCATTTCATCTTAGTACTCTGCATTGCTCACCGTGTGTCTGTCTACCAGGGAGGCTCCCAACACCCAGGATACGACGATGACAGGGCTTGGGTAGTGCACAGAACAAGCTTTTAAGATGGGCCGTAGTGGTTGGGAGTTGGTCTGTGAACTCAGGGTCAGTCGTTTGAAAACACCAGCTGCTCCTCGGGAGAAAGACGGGCTTTCTACTTCTGTAAAGAGAAGGGGTCTCAGAAGCACACGGGGTAGTTGTACTCTGTCCTAGAGGGTCGCTGTTAGTCAGCACACACTTGATGGCAGCGAGCAGTTCTTTTTTTACCATAGAGGCATTACGCACGTGGTGCTGAAATTTCCTTTGGAGCCTGTGTGTGAAGTTGTGTGTGTGAGAGAGAGAGATAATTGTAGCCCCAGCTCAAAGTCACAAGAAGCAGTTGGCTTATTGGGCTCTGTGCATGGGGCAGGGGAGCATAGCTGTGGCCTTGGTTGCCTGGGAGGACTCGTCCCCTCTCTTGTTTGCTTCCTCGCCTCTCCTATCCAAATTCTTCCTTAGCCCCAGGTTCACCGCTCAAGGTTAATTTCCCCTGCTGCAGCTGTGACACCATCCTCCTCCTCTGCCTCCTCCTCCTCCTGCCTCCCTCTGCCACACATACCAGGCTGTGAGTTATGTGCCTCCTGTTCTAATGAGATAAACAACACAATTCTCACGAGGCCTGCTCTTCCCTCTGTAAGTGGGACTCTGGGGCTGGCTGTGCGGGCCCTGAAAAGGCACCCAGGTGCCTGTGTGCCTGGCAAGGAGGGCATGGCAGGGGGCAGGGCACCTTGAGAGGGGCTCTTGGGGCCATATGCTTGTTGGCATAAGATGGAGTCAGAGCAGACACCAGAGAGAGACTCAGTTCCATCCTTGTGGTGAAATGGCCAGATTGCATGGCTGGAGAGTGGGGGGCGGGGGGCCGGGCCAGGATTGCCAAGCGAGCATGGGAGACTCTTGTGAGTCAGCTACACACCGGGTAATAACTGACACTGGTTCAAGGCATGGGGGTTATAAAGTGCTTCCTCTGGACTGTATTCATGTAGGTGCCAACCCCTCTACGGCAGATATTGTTGTCCTGGCTCTTATCTTACAGGTGAGAAGCAGGCCTAGGAAGATGCAGTGGTGGTGCTAAGGTGACATTCAGTGGTGGTACTGGGACTCGTGGGTGCCGCCTCTGACCAGGAGCTTCCTCAGTCCACCTGTGGAGTGTGAAGAATGAGACAGCAACAGTCCCCGTGTCTAGACATCCACACCCCTGAAGCCTCTCCCCAGAGAGTCCACCTCCAACTGGAGGCGGTGTGCTCAAGGCTGCCTCCATGCCACCGAGCGGTGATGCGAGGTGGGCGGAGTCTCTGGGAAGGTGGTGGTCTGGACAAGTGTTGGCAGGCTCTGCTTCTTGCCCCTCGGGCCTTTAGAGTGGGCCGATTGGATGTGTTCCTTCTCACTTCCTGCTTAGTTAGAACTACCAGAAAGCGGCTCGGGTCAAGATAGGACCCTGAGACACGGAGACGGCTGTGATGGGCTGGAGGGAGGGCTCCGCGCTCAGCTCCCAGCTCCCCTTTCGGGGCCCCTTGTGGACGGTGTGGCTCTGAGCCAATGAGTCATTTCTGTCCAATTCTACTCTGGTTGAACTCATTTGATAAGTGTTTCTTGATGTGCCAGGCACTAGGTTACATGCTGGGACACTCGAGATAGACGCAGTTTTTTCTGTCCTGGCTGTTATGAAACTCAGGGAGGAGGTAGCCAGTAGCAGAAAATGAATAGCGCCTCTTGGAGGAGAAGCATACGGAGCCTGTGCGACTTGAGGGCAGGGCGTTAAACTGGTGTCGGCCCCTCAGAGAAAGCGTCCAAACAGTACGTGCATGGTGGTTCACCACCCGGTGCCTCTTCGGTTCTTTCACAAATGGACTGGTTCTCCCACCTCACCTCCCTCCTGATTGGGCAGGCTTGGCACAGTCTGGGCATTGGTATTTTTCCGTAGCCTTTGCCCAGATGGCCCAAGATATGCTTTTGGTTTGCACGCGGGGAACACCCACTAACCCAAACTGAGTTTGATTGGGCAGTGGTGGGACCAGTTCTGAGATGTGGCAGTTCTGGGAGTTGCAAGCCACCCTTGTTTGGGCCGTCTCTGGGGTCCTGGGGAACACCAGTCCCCAAGACTGCCCGAGCATCTGGAAGGAACCCGAGCTTGTGCATCCATTTAGGAATGACAGACCCAGGGATGGCGTGGCTCCGAAGTGAACCAGAGCAAAACTGTGGGCTAAGCCCTGTAAAGCTTTCCTTCGAAGAAAGGTCAGAACTGGACCTTCTATGGGAGAGAAAGCAATATCTATTTTATTTGCCTCACTCAGTTTTTAAAAAAAAATAAATCAGCCACAGGACTGGCCCTCAGAGCTCAAGCAGCTCAGTGTTTAGAAGCCCATGAAGTAATCCACAAAATCAAGTACTCAGATGACTGTTAGAACTGACAAGTCCATTACCTCATAAGAACCCCAGTGACTGTCACAATACCGGAGGTGTGAGCAGAGCCGTGGTCTCCACCACATTCGATGGGTTCTAAGACTCTAAGGGAGGAGTATTAGAATGCCCTACTTCTGAATAGTCTCTCAACCTCCAGGACAGTGGTTCTCAACCTTCCTAATGCTGTGACCCTTTCAGACAGTTCTTCATGTGGTGGTGACCCCCAACCATAACATTATTTTCATTGCTACTTCACAACTGTAATTTTGCTACTGTTATGAATCAGGTGACCCCTGTGAAAGGGCCGTCTGACACCCAAAGGGTTTACGACCCACAGGTTGAGAACCACTGCTCTAAGAGCAACTGTGATTTAAGAAAACAACAACAAGATAAAGACTTTCACACCAAAAAGAAACTGTCCAGTGGGAGAGACCAGGTGGGGGAGTGAAGTGGACCAGACTGTTGACATGTGTCATCTTGGGGGAACTTTGTGAATCGGAAGCTAGTAGTTCAAAGACTGGGAAGAGACATCACGGAGTGGGTGGAGAGTAGACTACTTGGGGTGCAGAGAGTGGGGGGCGGGATTGATTTGCAGTCTAAACTGTTGAATACAAAGTCGAGGACCTGAAATGTAACCCCCACCTAATTTCCAATACGAATTGTTATTTTAAAAAAGATACTTAGTACATAGGGAGACCAGGACATTTTGGGTTCTTTAATGTTGGGGCGGTACCCCTGGTGTGGCCCCGAGCCCAGTGAATGGGGAGGGGTGGCTGATACAAATGAGTGGATATACAGCAACCAAACAAAGCTTTGTGATGGCACAAAATGAAGCCACTCTGTCTTTGGAAGGTCACCAGACAGCAGGTTGGAGTGGGGTCCGATGCTCTCTGAACTCCATGGTCCTCTAGGCACTCATGTCAGCTGCCCGTCGTCACATCGAGCTAGGGGACAGAGTTGTCACGTGAAAGTCCAAATGTAGCACACTCTATTTGTTCATCACTCATTGCTTCTACGAATGTTTAGTTCAGTTCTGGTCCTTGTTCTGGGGGTTTGGGTAGGAGCAAGCATTCAACACCCCTGCCCTCCAGACTTTTCATTCTGGCTGGCCGTGGTACATTGTCCTGGTCGGTTATGTTGGGGTACAGGAGACAGTCTTTTTAGACCGCTAATCATCTCGCCAGCCTTCAGCACCTTCCTCCTCTCCCTTGTGTCTTGATTGCCCACCCTCTTCTTTGGGAACCGACCCTGGTCCCATGTGGAGCGCCCATGTTCCTCCAAGGACTCCAGCCACCACTCTGCTATAGAGTCCCTAGAGCAGCAATTCTCAACCTGTGGGTCACGACCCTTTGGGGATTGAACAGCCCTTTCACAGGGGTCGCCTGATTCATAACAGTCGCAAAATGACAGTGATGAAGTAGCAACAAAAATCATTTTATGGTTGGGGTCACCACCACATGAGGAACTGTCTGAAAGGGTGGCGGCCTGAGGAAGGTGGAGCACCGCTGCTTTCTCAGAGTGATGTCTGAGGAGCACAAAGGCCCTCATGGGGGTGCTTGGCATGAGACATGATGTTGGCGTGGAACTTTGGGATCAAAAGCCAAACACCACGGGTGACTTTTCCTGGGAAGCAGCATGGTCTGGAAGCCCCAGCAGGTGGGCCGAGGGTGCAGCCATGCTAGCCCTGCAGGCACATGGAGCCTGGCTCCCGGAGCCGGCTTGCAATCCTCACAGGCCTTGTAAGGCTGCCCTTTGGCTTCAGCATGCTGTCAGCAGCCCCTGTAAGTGGAGAGCCAATTCCTTGATCCATTTTCTTGAAATATTTCTCAGTTCAGGATGTCCTTAGGGCAGGCACAGGGAGCTGGCTCCCATTGGACCTAGATAGAGGGCCAGTTGCTGGAGCCCCATTGCCCTGGGAGATACCGTAAAGATGTGAACTCTGAAAGGCTCCTCTTCTGGTTTGATGGCCCCTAACGTTTCCCCTAAGCCAGGAGAGCAGATCAGGTTTGGTAACGATAGATGGTTCTTTTGGGCAGGGACCTGCTGGGACAGCATGGTGGAGCAGACAGAAGGGTCCTGGGGTCCGCTGACCTCCATTCATCAACCAGTTATGTGACCTTGACAAGGCCACCTCTCTAGGTGGCAGTCCCTTCCTACTGCGAGTGACAGAGTGGGACAGGGTGGTTTCCAAGGCCCCTTCCAGCCTGGAGCCTTTAACCTTTACACTGTTTCTGTCCGCAGGCCTTGCCCCCGGCCAGCTGTACACGTACCCTGCCCGCTGCTGGCGCAAGAAGAGACGATTGCACCCGCCTGAGGACCCGAAGCTGCGGCTGCTGGAAATAAAACCTGGTCAGTGGTGGGGAGCTTGGCTGGGCCTGTGGTGGGAGAGGTGGGGAGGACTAAGCTGGCTCCTGGCCCCTTTGCCTTGGAGCTGATTTTACTGGGAAGGTGAACAAGCTCCCAGGGTGCTGCGGAGCCTGCGTTCACAGCTGCATGTGGCCAGGTGTCCACCCGAGCTGCCCTGCAGCCGAGTACCTCTGGCCTTTGAGGAGCGGAGCAAGCAGGAGCAGGTGGGAACCGGCCCAGGTTGAATGCCTTTCTTCGTCAGAACCTGAGGCTCAGCTGCATCGTGTGATACAGTAAAGAAACCACATCCACAGTCCAGTGTCCCGAAGAAGGAAGTAGACTGTGGACCCTCTCTCAGCCTTAGCCTGGGTGAACTTCTTTCTGGAGACTCATACCTGGGAAAGAGTCAGTTCATTAAAAATAGACTCCGGAGAGTCTGAGCTCAAATTGGCTGTCCTCTAGATGATGTGGGTTGTGTAGTGCTCCTGCAGAAGGGATTAGCAGACTACTAATTTGTTCTTACACTGCGACTATGTGGCCCGATCCAGGGCCCAGTGAGTGCCCTGGGTCCCTGGCTTTAAGGGAACCTCTTTTGGAGGGAGGTCCCAGGTGCTAAGATGTGACTCAGACTGGTAGGAGTAGTGCTGTCACGTGGCACAGATGCAGAGTTGACGTGGCTTGGCCCACGGCTGCCAAGGGGATTCTGGCTGTTCCCTACTTCGTCCTTTCGAGACTGTGCAGGTGGATGTCACTCTGCAGAAGCTCTTGACCAGTCGTCCAGGGTCATTTCACTTGGTTCATGTCAGCCCGGGTTTTGCTTGTGACGTTCTGTTGGTTAGCTCTTGGGTGTCGGTACACAGCCATGGTCCACTGTGTATAGATTCGAAAACACGCCAGGCTGAGGAGGAGGGCGGGTTCAGAGCCACGAGGAAGTGTGGTCCAGTAAAAATAGAATGCAAGGCATGGGCACCATTACATTTTTTTTTGTTTGTTTGTTTCTGGTAACCACCTTAGAAACGGGAACAAGAAACAGGTGACATTAATTTTAATACATTCTATGTGTGCTGATAGATCAGCAGTCACTGGGCTTCTGTTCGGGAGCCGATGCCTTTGAATTTCAGAGTGCATTTTGATACTTTCAGCACATCTACATTTGGACCAGCCACATTGCAGGTGCTCGATGGCCATGTGCGGCTGGTGGTCCCAGAACTGGTCAGCATTGTAGAAATGCACTTCACGTGTGGCCCTGACCAGCTGCTGGGCACTATTGGGGAACTTGTTAGGGGAAACCGAGGGGATCCAGCATTGTGGTGAGGGTTCTGTGTCTCCTGCCACCTCTCCTCGGGCAGGCAAGCTGGCCCCCAGCAGCCCCGGATTCTGCAGGAAAGCACCCTCAGCTGAGTGGCTGCCTGTCAGTCTGTGGCAGAGAGGTCACCGGAAACAGGATTGTCTGGCTAGGTTTTTGTTAGTCCACCAGTCGGCACCACCCTGGGGATGGGCCACTGACGGTTTTGAATAATAATCATCCAACCCAGTGTCTGTGCTATAGTTAACCCCGGGTTTCCAGCACACGTCACTTCCTTAGGTTCTTTCTCCCCTTCCTCCCCCCAGCTCTGGTAGGTGGAGAAGGAAGGAGGGTAAAGGCTGTTTCATAGGTGGGAGAAGGCAGGCTGTGCAGGGAGCCAAGGCGCATTTACTGTGCTGCTCACATATCTGAGAACCAACCATCCCATTGTTGGCGAGGCTCAGGCCCAGGCCCAGGCCCAGGCCCAGGCCCCGGCCGAAGCTGCCTTTCCAGTGCCTGGTGCTTCTGTCGACAGAGATTTACTCGGGGCAGTCTGGCCTGCCAGTGTTCATGTGCTGCCTGTGGCTGAGCAGGGGGCTGCTGACGTTGGATCTGCTCCAGCCTCGGGCCTGAGTACCTTGTGAAGCTAGGGAAAAAGAGGCCGCCTCAGCTGATGGTTTGCTTTGGGCACATCCCACTGGCACTGCATGTCTGTGCTCACGTGAAAGGCTTCCTTGGCTTCTGTCCCAAGCAGGAGGCAGAGAGGCAGCAGCATCAGTCTCAGGTGGTGACAAGGGCTAGTCATGGAGACTGCCAGGGCCTGGTGGGAGAGGGGAACACCAGCCTCTCTGTGGACAGCCCCTCAGAGGCGTGTGACTGTACCCCTGGTGGGAGCAGCTGCCTACAGATGTGGGCTCACTCACTTGGGCCCTTGGGGGGCTGGGGGGGGGGCGGCTTTCAGAACGACAGAATTCCTTCTCAGATGAACTTGTCCCCTGCCTCAAAGCCATCAGACCCACCATCCCCCAAACCAAACTCAGCTGCCATCTAGTTGGTTCTGACTCCTAGTGACCTTCTAGGACCGGGTAGCCTGCCCTGGCCTGCGGGTTTCCGGAGTTGCAAGGCTTTGTGGGACTAGAAGCGCAGAGCGGCTAGTGGTTTTCAATCGGCTGACCGTGTGGTCAGCGCGCAACGTGTAGCCACTTAGCCACCAGGACGCCTCAGACCTACCACTAAACGTACCTAGAACAAAACAAAACAATAACAACCAAACGCAAACAAAAAGCTGTTTGTCATTTCCTGGACCTGTTTCTGAGTCTGTCTTGAAGTGAGACTTGGCTCTCTGCATGGACAGCACACAGGCTGCACCGGCAGGTGGTGAACCAAAATGGCCGAGGGAGTGCCTGAGAGCCAGTGACAAGGAGCCTGGGCCTCAGAGCAGCCAGGGCCCGTCGAGAGGGCACCAAGAGGCAGGACCCAAGAAATGTAACTGTCTCTGCCCAGATGTGACACAGGCGTTGAAAGCAGGACCTTTCACACGGGCCGTATTGTAGGAAGGCTCTTCATCCTCAGCTAAGGCCACGTGGCACTTTGGGGCCAAAGTAGAAGGCACTCCTTCTGTGGGGACGCCCGACAGAATGATGTCCCTTCTGGAGGATTAGTAGTGTACAAGCTGGATCTCAACCCTGCTAGGTCCCCTTGGCAGGAGATTCCCATGCAGGACACAACGTACCCACCTTTCAGTGGTTGTGTCTATCTTCTCTAAAATGCACAATTCCCACCTGAGAAGACATCCTACTTTTGGGGCGGGGTGGGGGGGTGTTGTCCTCCCCATTTTTGAATAGCTGTCTCATTTCTGACAGGACCACTCGTGGCATAGTGGTTATACTTTGGGTGGCTAACTGCAAGGTCAGCAGCTTAAAACCTCCAGCTGTTCTGCAGGAGAAAGACTGGGCTTCCACAGTGTGTTCGGCAGGGGTCTCTAGAGAAGAAGGAATATAACAACTGATTAGTCCACACAACAGTACAGAGGGTTCAGTTCAACTCAACAGTTAATACACTGGAAATCCTTCACTCAGGTGGGCTGTTGGGTCCAAGGTCAAGGAAGCAGACAGCAGAGTCCTTTCCCGGGCAACGCAAGCAGAGTCTGCCCACAGGCAGCAAGCAGCAGGGTGGGTCACCAGTAGGCAGTAGCTCCGGAGCTTAGTGAAGTGAAGCAGGCCCAGGATGGGATACTGAACTCAAGCAATGCAACAGGCTCCACCAGCCTCAAACTCAAGTGATGTAGTGTGGCAAAGCAGGTCTCGAAGGAGCCTCAAGCTCTGGTGACAAGATCCACAGGCTGGCCTGGGATGCAAGTACTGCAGCTCACAGGTTGAGGCAGAGAACTAGCTAAAGCAGCAGCATGCTCCAGCATCTTCTGATCAGAGAACAAGAGAGATCAGAGAACAAGAACAGGCGTGGGGTGGGCCTTGCAGAGCAATTTATCTCTTTGCCCTCCAATCAAACTGTGACCTGATTAATCCCACCTGTTCCTATTGGTCAGGCTGGCACCATAAACCTAACTTTCACATGTAGAGTTAGTCTTAAAAACCCACAGGGCCCATTCTACTCGGCCCTCTAGGGTTGCTGTGAATTGGAATTGATTTGCAACTCATAACCACTATATCAGGAATGAGACGGCTTTAAAAAAATATTGGTGAAGTCTGCCGTGTATTTGAGCCCACCAGCTGCTCTTCAGGGGAAAGATGTGATGGTCTGCTTACATAAGGGGTTCTAGCCGCAGAAACCCTGTGGGGCATTTCTACTCTGCCCTGTAGGGTTCTCATGAGTCAGAAACCACTGGACAGCACTGGTGGTGTGGTTTCATTTCTGTTCCATTAGTAGAACTTTTTGCATGGAACTCAGGGATGTTAGCATTTCCTGGGGTAGCCAGAGTCCCTGAAAGGCGCCCTGGTGGCATAGTAGGTGACACACTTGTTGCTAGCCACAAGGGGTTCAAACCAACCAGTTGCTCCATAGGAGAAAAATGAGGTAATGCTCTGAGTCATGACGGCAACATACCTGCATGAAGCAGGGAACCAATCCAATGGAGAGGTCTGCAGGGCAGCCCCAATCCCAGCTACATGGACTCCTCCTCCTCCCCTCCCAGAAGAATGCACCACAGTGGAGAGCACTGAAGCTATAGCTCAGGGAGAAGGGCACGTCTCATCAGAGCACACAGGAGCAAACGAAGAGGGAAGGAGGTGGAATACCAAGCCCGGAGGATGCTACTCCTGCTCAGAGCAGCCAATGCACAGAGAGGACCATAGGGCCGGCCCCACCACAAGACACAACATCCCTCACTGACCCATATCTCTACGAGGGACATCACTGGAGGCACAGTGTGGGAATTATGCCTGATCTGACCCTACCACACTGGGGAGAAGCGCTAAGGTCGTGCCAGAGAGCAGCAAGGGGAGCAAAGCAATGAAATCCCTGGGGAGTACCAATAATAAACTTTGGGGCCAGGGCGGGGCACCCTTGCAGACTCCACCGGAAACCACTCCTAAAGATCAACAAACAGACCTAGAACTATTTATAGGCTTTTCTTTTTTTGGGGGTCGTTGGTACTATTGTTGTTTTGTTTTGCTCTGTCTTGTTTTTGTGCTTATTATTGTCTCTGCATGCCTATCTAGATAAGATAGGCGGGGTAAACAATCCAGGGGAGAAAACAATG